TTTTCGAGTGTAATCTTCGCAAGGTTACAAATTCGATTTTCATCACAAACAAATTCCTCATTTACTTGAAGCACTTGATTTACTGATAATTGTGAGTATTTGGATTTGAATTCTAAAGACGAGCTTAACACTTGATTGGTGATTTTTCTTTTTTCTGTTTTTTTTTTTTGGTAGTAAAAAAAAGATATGATTATCGGACTTTAATGATAATTTAATTTAATGGGTCAGTGGGGCTATTGGAAGTTCATTGTTAGGTGAGAAATAAGAATATTCTCTCTTTCGTAGTCATTCTAATCAATGACTTAATATTATTCTAAAGTTCCATACCAATCACTTAAGGGTGGAGTAGTCTTCCGAGTAATGATAGATTCATACCCAAAGTTTTCCATACCAATCACTTAAGGGTGGATTAGTCTTCCGAGTAATGATAGATTCATACCCAAAACAAACAAACAAACAAACAAAAAAATGATCAAATATGTTGTATTAGTACCATAATGAAAAAAAAATTACTTTGTGAATGTATAAAAGTGGAACCAACACTACTATTGTGATAAGAGCAATACTATTGAGATCAAATTTATTGACCTAATTCACTATGATTTTTGGATTAACTGTGGGCTCCATCAAACATTAGAATTTGGTATTTATCCAATGATTCTAATGAAANATTGTGATAAGAGCAATACTATTGAGATCAAATTTATTGACCTAATTCACTATGATTTTTGGATTAACTGTGGGCTCCATCAAACATTAGAATTTGGTATTTATCCAATGGTTCTAATGAAACCACGTTATTAGGTCAGCAAAATTATGTCAGATTTTTAGATTCAAATAATATTTTCTTTGTGATAATATCACATCATTTAATCTTTATTTTTTAATCTCCCTTTTAATCGGTCTAACATTATTCTTGGTCAACCCGTAGGTGTAATTAAGTTATTGAGTCTGTACTCTGATAATTTAGAGATCTCACGTTCAACACTTAATTCTCAGGAGGCACATGTTTTAAAATTGTTCGAACAACGGCAGCCAGCATCTGAATTTGAGAGAATATTCGACACAAATTTAAACACCTTATAAAAACAACAAAAACTACGTTACATTTAATCTTAATCTTGTCACGGCACGGCACGGCGTATTTTTGCGTGATCCTACCGTGTTTTCCACTACTAGAATCCAATCGTTTTCTCATATAATGGTCGATGATGTAATCGACCAAGTAAATACACAATTCGTGGAATTAAATTAATCCGCCACCAACCCATTCTGGATCATGCTAGCGATGTGTGTTTTGATCAGATTTACAAATGCATTTCATAATGGTGAGGTATACCATGCTTATATTACTGTATTACCCTTTATGGGCAGCCAACGGGTTGGCCCGGGCAGTCAATTGAAAGACCGATACTAATGGGTGGGTCTTCAGCGGGTTACTTATCAAGTCGGTCCGGCCCCTATAAGTGTTTAAACAGGCCAGACTTGAGTTTTGCATTTTATTATGAAAAAATTGTGGATAGGTATATATTATGTACGATATATCCGTGGGAAGTATCATATAGATTCTCTTTTGTGTATAAGTCTTTTTTTTTAAGGAATGCGTTTTGAGTATATACACATTAGCTATTTTCTAAATATTTCATTTGCATAATTGCTTTTTTTCATTAATTATGAACGGTTTTTAAGACATTGAATTGTGAGATTCAATTTCTTATTTTTTTTGGGGACAACATGTTTGAATTTTAAACTACTTCTTCTTCTGTTTATCCCAAAATATCACTTGAGATTCAATTTTTTTTTTTTTGTGGACTTCACATTCTATAATATAATTAGATATTATCACTATGCAATGTGATATTATTACTATTGCAGTGTAACATTATAACTATTGCAATATGACATTAATACTAGCAATAGTGATAATGTCTCACTGCTTCTACATAATTTTTCTATCATTATTAATAATTTGTTAGTTATGGACGTGATGAAAAATGTGTTAAAAAAGATAGGTGGCTATCTGTGTTCTTCATAGGAAAATTCTTCAATTTCTTCAAAGCGAGATGAAACCCTCGTTTTCTTTCCAGTGAGTTCAACGATGTGTGTTCTTCACAGTAAAAAACCTAAAAAATAATGGATTTCTTTAATATCCTTCTTTGTAATGTGGTACTGATGAAATAATGGAGTTTGGGGTAGATATTGTGAACACTGTTTAAATTTGAAAATTGTATCCTCAAATCATGCAAACTCCAACTCCAATGGTGGAGAAGACAGAACATTTGTTGTCGCTTAGTTATGTTTACACTGGTTTCCTTTGTCATGGAAGGAACTCTTCAACTTNAACTACTTCTTCTTCTGTTTATCCCAAAATATCACTTGAGATTCAATTTTTTTTTTTTTGTGGACTTCACATTCTATAATATAATTAGATATTATCACTATGCAATGTGATATTATTACTATTGCAGTGTAACATTATAACTATTGCAATATGACATTAATACTAGCAATAGTGATAATGTCTCACTGCTTCTACATAATTTTTCTATCATTATTAATAATTTGTTAGTTATGGACACGATGAAAAATATGTGTTAAAAAAGATAGGTGGCTATCTGTGTTCTTCATAGGAAAATTCTTCAAATTCTTCATAGTGAGATGAAACTCTCGTTTTCTTTCCAGTGAGTTCAACGATGTGTGTTCTTCACAGTGAAAAGCCTAAAAAATAATTGATTTCTTTAATATCCTTCTTTGTAATGTGGTACTGATGAAATAATGGAGTTTGGGGTAGATATTGTGAACACTGTTTAAATTTGAAAATTGTATCCTCAAATCATGCAAACTCCAACTCCAATGGTGGAGAAGACAGAACATTTGTTGTCGCTTAGTTATGTTTACACTGGTTTCCTTTGTCAGGGAAGGAACTCTTCAACTTCAAAAAGTCATTTTGGACTTTAACTATAGTGAGCGGACTTCTTTACAAATATTTTAAAAAAGTATATTTTTTTCCTAATAAGTCTTATATTATTTACCGGCCCAATTTTCCCTTTTATTATCCAAATTCAAACAAGAATATTAGTTTATTACGTTTGAAGATTGTGGAGGAGGGTTGAGAATGCCTAGGTCGTGGTCCAACATACTGACATATTGCACACAGGTAAATTTGTCACTTGTGTTTCATGAAATAGGCTCGTGTCGAGTTTTAGTGAGTTTATATCAAAAAGAATATTTCATCCATATCTAATTTATTTATTAATTCATGTTTAACGAATCATATTATATCAAGTTCGTTTCATGTATAAATCGTGTATAACTAATATAAAAACAAGTCGTATTGCATATTTTTTTTAATTGATTTCACTCTTATCCGATTCGTCTATCANTTATTTATATCTAATTTATTTATTAATTCATGTTTAACGAATCATATTATATCAAGTTCGTTTCATGTATAAATCGTGTATAACTAATATAAAAACAAGTCATATTGCATATTTTTTTTAATTGATTTCACTCTTATCCGATTCGTTTATCAATCATGTCATATTTGATCCACTCATTTACAAAATAGATAACATAAAAAGTAAAAAAAAACTCAAACTATCTAATTCTAACATAAAAAGTAAAAAAAAACTCAAACTATCTAATTCTATGTCATGTTGGTCTCATATTTTAACACCCAACCCCACAAGCACCACATGATGAGCCTTACTACCNCATATTGCATATTTTTTTTAATTGATTTCACTCTTATCCGATTCGTCTATCAATCATGTCATATTTGATCCACTCATTTACAAAATAGATAACATAAAAAGTAAAAAAAAACTCAAACTATCTAATTCTATGTCATGTTGGTCTCATATTTTAACACCCAACCCCACAAGCACCACATGATGAGCCTTACTACCTATTTGCCTTTGAAACAAATTGGCCGAAAATAATCCTGGTTTTATCCCAATGACAATGTCACTTTTGAAGACATTTTTTATTTTTGAACACGCACTTTTGACGACATTGACCAAGCAATTTTACATACAAACAGATTATTTATCGAACACAACATAATTTACCAAGGCTAAAGGATCAATTTTGCCAACAGACCTCAGAACGAAATTTCAGGTTCGGCCAAAGGGAAAGAGGTTAAACCCACTCAATTTGGGCACCAGTTTTGACACGAGACAATGTTTCCCACCCAGAATGTAGTTTTTCAACAATGTTATTTATACCTAATTGTAAATCTAATTAAGAACCTAACACATTGTGATCTTNTGGAACACAACATAATTTGCCAAGGCTAAAGGATCAATTTTGCCAACAGACCTCAGAACGAAATTTCAGGTTCGGCAAAAGGAAAAGACGTTAAACCCACTCAATTTGGGCACCAGTTTTGACACGAGACAATGTTTCCCACCCAGAATGTAGTTTTTCAATAATGTTATTTATACCTAATTGTAAATCTAATTAAGAACCTAACACATTGTGATCTTTGAATCAATGTTTTACTTCACAATGTTGGAACCTACTGTAATCCAATGGCCACAAATGTAGTAGATCCCCAAATTATATTCAATGGTCCAATTGACACATCCTGTACAGCAAAATGTACCAAAAAAAAGCTGATTTTTTGAGACCCACAAAGTGATGTGTAGAGTGCGCATGCATTTGGGATATAAAATTTGAGTTTTGATTTGGACATCATAACAATGCTCGGAGGACAAAGGGGAGAACGGGGAAAAAAAAATAATTTTATAGCCTCAATTCATATATATATCCTAAAAGCATCGCAACTTGTGGATGCTCTGCTGCAAGGCAAGACATCATTTGACATCCTCAAATGCCAGCACAATCATAATCGGCTGCAGGTCTAATATCATCACTTTCTGTAGTCTGAGGGTCCAACTTCGACAAGCTTGTTCTCATCCTTAAACACAACTTGCAAATTGGCTCTTACTAGCGTGCTGTATGCTTCTCATTTCATTTTGATTCAGCTGAACGGTTCAATTTTTACGCATTTTATCAGGTGAGAGTTCGAGTTCAACACGCTTGATTTCATCTTTCAACATTTGCAAAGTGCCACTTCTACCTTGATCCATCCCCTTGGTACTCATCAGACTAGAAAGATGCTTCAGACACGATAGATATTCAAACTTCACTTCAGGAGAATCGGACAATGATCTCTCACTTGCAAACTGCACAGAAATGAAAGTACATAACTTGATAAACTGTCTATATCCATCTTTGTTCATAAATGAATGCAAATCAAAATTACTATACCCACTGATTTTGTAATTTTCTACCACTTTACCTTTTGGCCAATATATCCGTATGTGATTAGAAATTCAGATTGGTCTCATAAAATGGCTAATGTTGGTAAGTTAATGATTTGCTTCGGTATTGTTCCTAGCAACTGAACTCCCAATATAAGTGGTATTACCTCACGATCTTTTGCAAGGCACTAAGAAAAAAATCGTTTCTATTACAATGCAGTGCAGAAAAGAAAAGGTAATTGACAACAGGAAGAAAAATTAACCAATTTTGATAGCCCATGTATGATTACATTGAGGTTTTGGGTTTTCAGTTCTGTGATTTGAATGAAAACCACTTTGGCCAATGAAATTTAACCATAAGGAGGTCAAAATAGTGATTTCGATAGTTAAATTGCTTACTCCAAATGGTCGTTTCTTGTGGCAATCAAATTGTTTTCAAAAACGCACCTGTTTTATCACCATTTGCTAATTTTTCATGTCATTTAACAGCAAACAAGTACATCAGGACTTCCTACGCATTGAGTCCCACTTATTATTCCCAGTTCATAGAACCCAATGGTTTTTCCTTAGACAAACGCTCCAGGCTAAGAACAGATGTAGCATTTCATCCTCTCTCAAACTCATAAGTTCCTTAGGCTAGCTTTGCTTAACCATAGATTCCATTTCCTTTAAGGTCTTTAGTTTTAAATTTCTCCTGAACCATTAGTGTGCAAAATGGAATAACAAAAAAAATTTTAAATAGAAAGATTGTTTCATCTTCAAACTCAAGCTTAATGAAAAANTAGTTTTAAATTTCTCCTGAACCATTAGTGTGCAAAATGGAATAACAAAAAAATTTTAAATAGAAAGATTGTTTCATCTTCAAACTCAAGCTTAATGAAAAATTGGGATCCCAAGTGATGATCACTCAATAGTCTTACTCCCCTCCTTTCTATTCACTCCATTGCTACCCTAACCAGGTAGTAAAACAGAAATCAAGTGCACAAAAGCAGCACTGAAATAACCAAAATAAGAAGCAATCAAAATTATCAAGAGCCTAAAAACACTACATTTTGCTCGCCAATGTTATCAACAGTTTTGCACGAATTTTCTGCAGATAGGGACACTAAAAGGTGGCAACGTTTCATGAATCTTTTTTTTTTTTTTTGCATATACCTCTTTGAAAGCCAAAATGCACTGATGAAAAGCTTCCTCAGGGTCAAGAACTGGTGTATTTTTCTCCTGCTTTACAACAAAACAAAAAGAACAAAAAATCTAGCAAAGTGAAATACCTTCCTTATAATCAGAGTGAATAAGATGACGAAGGACGAAATGACAAATTCAAAAAAAAATGAGGAAAAAACCACAAATTAGAAATTGATTATAAAANTTAGAGAGTGAATAAGATGACGAAGGACGAAATGACAAATTCAAAAAAAAATGAGGAAAAAACCACAAATTAGAAATTGATTATAAAAATGGAAAATTTAGTTTTGTGAAATAGTCTCTCGCAAGCAGTGGTAAAGCTGCGTACATTTGACACTCCCACACAGCAAGGAGCTTTGTGCAGTGAGCACCTAATAGAAATTCTATTTTCCTGTTGGGGTGGGAGTGGCGGTTTAATAAATAAAACAAGAACAGGAAGATGCCTATCATTGAAACACAAATGACACAATATTAAAATGACTTGCATCCTAACTGCTAACCTAAGATCTTCGCAGGTACCCTGAAAAATCATTTACTATGGCGCATGTAGCCATCGCAGGTGAAACTCTTGTCACGATTTCCTTACGTCCTCAATAACAAAGGATAAGGTCAAAGGTGTTAGGAAAACCAGCCCAAAAGGTTAAGCTATTAGCTGGAGATGCCCAACCGGTATATGAAGCACACATAAGCCCAGAGAAACTGATTTGGGAAACTTTCCCACTCCCTCCCACATTGCAGACTCCTTAACAAATAGTAGTTAACTTTGTAAGTATAAGTAGCAATGTTGACCTGTTGTGTCATCCCCAAGCACCTAAATGACTGCTAGCAGCACCTGTGAATTTTGCAAATGATCTCTCACACTTCCGTAAATAGATGTAGCAATGACCACAGCAGGGGAGGGAATATTCTCTGCTTTTGACAACTAAGTTTCACTGCTTTAGCTTTGGTAAAGTGTGCCCAGGCACCTAAAAGGACTAAGGCACGTAGATCAAGATATGTGAACTCAAAAACCACTTTGTTTTTTCCAAAGCGAAGCTTTTCTACAGAAATTCAACTAACAAAGGCAGATTCAGGTTCTTTNCAGTAAATAGATGTAGCAATGACCATTGCAGGGGAGGGAATATTCTCTGCTTTTGACAACTAAGTTTCACTGCTTTTGCTTTGGTAAAGTGTGCCCAGGCACCTAAAAGGACTAAGGCACGTAGATCAAGATATGTGAACTCAAAAACCACTTTGTTTTTTCCAAAGCGAAGCTTTTCTACAGAAATTCAACTAACAAAGGCAGATTCAGGTTCTTTGGAAGCAAAATACATAAGACCTGAAGATTTAGTTAGTGTTTGATCCAGTATTGGCAAAAATTATCCATTCTAAGACTCATTAACTGTCTCATATCGTCTTGTCTGCAGTTGTGTATGAAATGAGCAGTGGTTTCGGTTGTCATACCACAGAATAGAAATCAATTTCTTCCATTTCAAATGGGTGGCCAGAGCTCTTCTGAATGGAAAAGCATTACGAGAGANTTCAGTATTGGCAAAAATTATCCATTGTAAGACTCATTAACTGTCTCATATCCTCTTGTCTGCAGTTGTGTATGAAATGAGCAGTGGTTTCGGTTGCCATACCACAGAATAGAAATCAATTTCTTCCATTTCAAATGGGTGGCCAGAGCTCTTCTGAATGGAAAAGCATTACGAGAGATTATTCAAGTAGCATTTTTGTACTGTTCAGGTACCTTTGCCTTCTAGACTGTATTCTGAACTGGTCCACCATCGTGCGACATAAAAAGTGGGTCCCTTGTCAACCCCAATGTCCAATAGATGTGAAAACACCATTTTTGGACAATATCTGGTCAGGAGAAAACTGGCACAAAAAACTTGTAACTTCGAAAGTTGAATTGATGTCATAATGTGCCCCCATTTTTGTGCGTGAAAGACAGATCTGCCTATGAGTGCACTCCACAGATAAAAAATGGAGTTAATCAAAACTCATGACTTTGAGAAAAGGACTTTGGTAATGAATGGATAGGAACTAGGAAGAGAAGTCATTTGATCCATATTGACAAGAGCTTCCATCAATCACTGTTCGTTAGTAGAAAAGAGAAATTAGACAGTACCATGAAGCATAACACTGACCTTTGAATCCTGCAGTTCCGCCTTACTGATTTCCAATTGCCCAAGAGCATTAAGTGATTGCAGCTGCAGACATATCTATGACCCATCAATTTCGCCTCAAAATACTCTCACAACCACAATATTAAAAAAATGTCAGCATCCAAAATATAACAAATATCTGTATCCTGCCTTCATTGCCTTAATATCGGACTGCATCAACAACACGTGTATTTTGGCTACAATTTGCTAGCCGAAGAAAATAGTTTGTTGGCCTTTAAACAATTACATATCATAAATAAGCACATGGGATGTTTGCAGGAAATCTAATTTTAAATGCTATGTAATTATGTAATCTCAATTGACAAGGTCCCCAATGACTTCGCTATTTTCCATTACCGATGGATTCATATCAAGAGAAAAGTTATATAGCATAGTGCAATAATAGAAACTTTGTACCATAGTCTTTTGTGGGTACTTTCTATGTGAACAATTAGATCATGATCTAACGGCTACTACTCAAACAAGCCTAAAATCAAATGTTAAAACCTTCCAAACTTTGGCTAGCAATTAAAAAGGAAATCTCAATGCCATTTTAATTATAATACTAATCCTATTAGGAAGGCATATTAAACTTCTTTTGAAATTATATCTTTCAAAATTAACAATTTTTTCCCGACTATTGTCAAGTCTTGTCCAATAAGTCCAGACCCATTTTTGTCTGANCTTTTTTGTGCGTGAAAGACAGATCTGCCTATGAGTGCACTCCACAGATAAAAAATGGAGTTAATCAAAACTCATGACTTTGAGAAAAGGACTTTGGTAATGAATGGATAGGAACTAGGAAGAGAAGTCATTTGATCCATATTGACAAGAGCTTCCATCAATCACTGTTCGTTAGTAGAAAAGAGAAATTAGNCATTTTTGTGCGTGAAAGACAGATCTGCCTATGAGTGCACTCCACAGATAAAAAATGTAGTTAATCAAAACTCATGACTTTGAGAAAAGGACTTTGGTAATGAATGGATAGGAACTAGGAAGAGAAGTCATTTGAGCCATATTGACAAGAGCTTCCATCAATCACTGTTCGTTAGTAGAAAAGAGAAATTAGACAGTACCATGAAGCATAACACTGACCTTTGANTCTGTCCATCTATAGTTATATTTGATAGCAATTAGTAAGACTTTGTAGAAGAAACATTAACTTCAGAAATCTAAAGATTGGTTATGATATGAATCGGCTGAGTCACTAGGTTGACACGTCCGACAAAGATCTGCCAACAATAAAAAAAATTTCTTAATTTTAAAAGATCAATTTCAAAAAAAATTAATACACTTCCTAATAAGATTAGGATTACAATTGATATGACACTGAAATTGCCTTTTTAGTTAATAGACAAGTATGGTAGGATTTTACATTTAATTTTGGTCTTCTTTGAATTGTGGTCGTTACACCATGATCTAACAGTCCACATGAAAAGTACTTACCAGAGACTATGCGACCACAATCTAACGGTCCACATGAAAAATTCTTAGCCAGATACTATGGTGCATAGCTTCCATGATTGCGCTACTATATATGTATGTAAAGTTCTATATAATCCATTGCCATTGTTTTCCCCCCATTTTCATGTTCTTTTACACCAGGGCCTATAAGCCACACTCCTATGCTAGATTCACAATGACAAAGCCTCTAAAGTTGGATCCAATTCTTTTTCCCATTATCTTCAGACTTATATAAAAGTGGATACATCCATATCAACAGAAAAATTGTACTGATAACCACTTATTGCATTGGCATAGTATATATTTTCATTTCTTTTACACAGCCTGTAGAACAGTCCTGTGCTAGAATCACAATGACGCCTGATAAGTCGAATCCTCGAAAATTAGACTTCTTGTCCAATGCCTGAGACACTATTTGGCATATTTTTGCTCCAGGCTTGAATGGGATAGGGAAGTGATTTGAGAAGTAAAAAATATATATCATGTGGAGTTAGATAANGACTAGCAATTAAAAAGGAAATCTCAATGCCATTTTAATTATAATGCTAATCCTATTAGGAAGGCATATTAAACTTCTTTTGAAATTATATCTTTCAAAATTAACAACTTTTTCCCGACTATTGTCAAGTCTTGTCCAATAAGTCCAGACCCATTTTTGTCTGATATTAATCAATTACTCTTGCATCATCAATTTTCCCACCTCATCTTATTAGGAAAATATATCATTATTATATGATCAAAGTGCATTACTGAAAACTCGTTCTTCTCCCTCTGCGAATTAATCCTTTTGGATTTGAGTTTTAAATGTTTGAAGTTGGCGAGGATTAGTAGTCCAGAGATGTCAATCTAATCAGTTTTGATTGTTTATGCATCATCTACAACTAAAGTAATGTCTTAAAATCATGGTAATGTATATATTGTGTACACTTATTGGAGGGAGGTGCCTTTTTATCTGGGAATGCCTTCTTCTATTGAAGGTGAAAAGGTGAAAGTTTGTCCATCTATAGTTATATTTGATAGCAATTAGTAAGACTTTGTAGAAGAAACATTAACTTCAGCAATCTAAAGATTGGTTATGATATGAATCGGCTGAGTCACTAGGTTGACACGTCCGACAAAGATCAGCCAACAATAAAAAAAATTTCTTAATTTTAAAAGATCAATTTCAAAAAAAATTAATACACTTCCTAATAAGATTAGGATTACAATTGATATGACACTGAAATTGCCTTTTTAGTTAATAGACAAGTATGGTAGGATTTTACATTTAATTTTGGTCTTCTTTGAATTGTGGTCATTACACCATGATCTAACAGTCCACATGAAAAGTACTTACCAGAGACTATGCGACCACAATCTAACGGTCCACATGAAAAATTCTTAGCCAGATACTATGGTGCATAGCTTCCATGATTGCGCTACTATATATGTATGTAAAGTTCTATATAATCCATTGCCATTGTTTTCCCCCCATTTTCATGTTCTTTTACACCAGGGCCTATAAGCCACACTCCTATGCTAGATTCACAATGACAAAGCCTCTAAAGTTGGATCCAATTCTTTTTCCCATTATCTTCAGACTTATATAAAAGTGGATACATCCATATCAACAGAAAAATTGTACTGATAACCACTTATTGCATTGGCATAGTATATATTTTCATTTCTTTTACACAGCCTGTAGAACAGTCCTGTGCTAGAATCACAATGACGCCTGATAAGTCGAATCCTCGAAAATTAGACTTCTTGTCCAATGCCTGAGACACTATTTGGCATATTTTTGCTCCAGGCTTGAATGGGATAGGGAAGTGATTTGAGAAGTAAAAAATATATATCATGTGGAGTTAGATAAACAACCCTTGGGGTATGAAATATAAGTACATCCTTTTCGCAGGAATCAGAAGTCTTAATACAAACACTTTAATACGTGTACTACTGGGATATCATGTAGAAATGATACCATAGTTAAAAGACAAAATTCTAAAAAATACATTCAGAAAACTCTCCCTCTGGCCCAAATTTCTAGTCCAAATCTGTCTAGGTGTTTCACAAGTATTGTTCATGATCAAGAGACAATAAGTGATCATTCCTCAGCATCCCGCTGTAATGGTTGTGAGACCACAACAATAAAAAGAAAAAAACTACCTGACCATGAGTAATATCAAGCCCTCATGCAATAAAAGCAAAAATGAAGTATTAAACTATTGTAAAAGCACATGATGCACTTCCCTGAAACCTTGTCCTTATTCATAGTTGGAAATATTTAATGATTTTCTACCGTGAGAGGATTAATAAGNCGTTACACCATGATCTAACAGTCCACATGTAAAGTACTTACCAGAGACTATGCGACCACAATCTAACGGTCCACATGAAAAGTACTTAGCCAGATACTATGGTGCATAGCTTCCATGATTGCGCTACTATATATGTATGTAAAGTTCTATATAATCCATTGCCATTGTTTTCCCCCCATTTTCATGTTCTTTTACACCAGGGCCTATAAGCCACACTCCTATGCTAGATTCACAATGACAAAGCCTCTAAAGTTGGATCCAATTCTTTTTCCCATTATCTTCAGACTTATATAAAAGTGGATACATCCATATCAACAGAAAAATTGTACTGATAACCACTTATTGCATTGGCATAGTATATATTTTCATTTCTTTTACACAGCCTGTAGAACAGTCCTGTGCTAGAATCACAATGACGCCTGATAAGTCGAATCCTCGAAAATTAGACTTCTTGTCCAATGCCTGAGACACTATTTGGCATATTTTTGCTCCAGGCTTGAATGGGATAGGGAAGTGATTTGAGAAGTAAAAAATATATATCATGTGGAGTTAGATAAACAACCCTTGGGGTATGAAATATAAGTACATCCTTTTCGCAGGAATCAGAAGTCTTAATACAAACACTTTAATACGTGTACTACTGGGATATCATGTAGAAATGATACCATAGTTAAAAGACAAAATTCTAAAAAATATATTCAGAAAACTCTCCCTCTGGCCCAAATTTCTAGTCCAAATCTGTCTAGGTGTTTCACAAGTATTGTTCATGATCCAGAGAAAATAAGTGATCATTCCTCAGCATCCCGCTGTAATGGTTGTGAGACCACAACAATAAAAAGAAAAAAACTACCTGACCATGAATAATATCAAGCCCTCATGCAATAAAAGCAAAAATGAAGTATTAAACTATTGTAAAAGCACATGATGCACTTCCCTGAAACCTTGTCCTTATTCATAGTTGGAAATATTTAATGATTTTCTACCGTGAGAGGATTAATAAGAGTAATATGTTATACACCAACTCCACCATACATTTAGTGCAAAAGACAACCCTTGACATCTTTTGACAGAACGGAAAATCACATGCAAGAATTGGAGAGATATTGAAAATAAGTTGAATGTAACCACTGTAGAATCTCCATACTCTTGAACATTAGCCTGTACGATTGATTATCATGAAGTAAACAGAGAACTGGTAACATTGATAGCAGACCAATTTAATAGATTGTTCACAAATAAAGAAAACTGACCAGTATAACTAAAGCTGTATGCCCAGCTTTTCTCATCTCTCTGGATACCCCAATGGATTGCTGATTCCCTTTTTGCTGTGTCATTTTATCCAAAACCTGTTGAGCTATCCTGTCATGGAGAAAATGCTGCATATGATTAAATAAGATATAACACTACAGAAAGATGACAAACTGATCAAGCATTGGCAATGTTGAACTCTTTTCTCTTAACCCTCAAAATTGTCTGAATTGAAAAAATCCTATAGTATTTCATATAACTATATTGTGAATAGCTAGCAGATGAAACAATGGAGCAACATTCATAGATCAATGTTGGGAAGAGTTCAAATTATTTTTTTAAGGAAAAGTCAAGAGATACGGTATAAGATAAAACTACACACATCCATTCGAGTNATATTCAGAAAACTCTCCCTCTGGCCCAAATTTCTAGTCCAAATCTGTCTAGGTGTTTCACAAGTATTGTTCATGATCCAGAGAAAATAAGTGATCATTCCTCAGCATCCCGCTGTAATGGTTGTGAGACCACAACAATAAAAAGAAAAAAACTACCTGACCATGAATAATATCAAGCCCTCATGCAATAAAAGCAAAAATGAAGTATTAAACTATTGTAAAAGCACATGATGCACTTCCCTGAAACCTTGTCCTTATTCATAGTTGGAAATATTTAATGATTTTCTACCGTGAGAGGATTAATAAGAGTAATATGTTATACACCAACTCCACCATACATTTAGTGCAAAAGACAACCCTTGACATCTTTTGACAGAACGGAAAATCACATGCAAGAATTGGAGAGATATTGAAAATAAGTTGAATGTAACCACTGTAGAATCTCCATACTCTTGAACATTAGCCTGTACGATTGATTATCATGAAGTAAACAGAGAACTGGTAACATTGATAGCAGACCAATTTAATAGATTGTTCACAAATAAAGAAAACTGACCAGTATAACTAAAGCTGTATGCCCAGCTTTTCTCATCTCTCTGGATACCCCAATGGATTGCTGATTCCCTTTTTGCTGTGTCATTTTATCCAAAACCTGTTGAGCTATCCTGTCATGGAGAAAATGCTGCATATGATTAAATAAGATATAACACCACAGAAAGATGACAAACTGATCAAGCATTGGCAATGTTGAACTCTTTTCTCTTAACCCTCAAAATTGTCTGAATTGAAAAAATCCTATAGTATTTCATATAACTATATTGTGAATAGCTAGCAGATGAAACAATGGAGCAACATTCATAGATCAATGTTGGGAAGAGTTCAAATTATTTTTTTAAGGAAAAGTCAAGAGATACGGTATAAGATAAAACTACACACATCCATTCGAGTCATTAAAAATTGCAATGTTCTCACGGACTGAACTACTTTCTCAGCTGAAAAACAATAGGGGTCTCTGCAGAATCCAAACACAGTCTTAGTTTAATGCGTTACTGGGCATTAAGTTACACACCTAGCATCCTTATCTAACCTGCCTACAGGAGGCTCCACCAAAAGCCTTCCAATGTCATGATCAAATTAACCCCCTTCGTCAATACAAGTTTGAGGAGCACAATGTTGCGAAGGAAGGTCAACACACGTACCAAATCTTCATCTACTTTAGTGTTAGATCTCCTTCACCTTGGAATCCTTAAAAAGCTGCATTTTAGTGCACACAATCTGGTGCTTGAGTGCTTGGTTGGGTCCAGAACAGGACCCAAAGAAGCTCCCCTAATATGTATGCGGCAAAGACGTATAATGAAAAAACAATAAAGGTATGTGACTTTATTNAACAGACCAATTTAATAGATTGTTCACAAATAAAGAAAACTGACCAGTATAACTAAAGCTGTATACCCAGCCTTTCTCATCTCTCTGGATACCCCAATGGATTGCTGATTCCCTTTTTGCTGTGTCATTTTATCCAAAACCTGTTGAGCTATCCTGTCATGGAGAAAATGCTGCATATGATTAAATAAGATATAACACTACAGAAAGATGACAAACTGATCAAGCATTGGCAATGTTGAACTCTTTTCTCTTAACCCTCAAAATTGTCTGAATTAAAAAAATCCTATAGTATTTCATATAACTATATTGTGAATAGCTAGCAGATGAAACAATGGAGCAACATTCATAGATCAATGTTGGGAAGAGTTCAAATTATTTTTTTAAGGAAAAGTCAAGAGATACGGTATAAGATAAAACTACACACATCCATTCGAGTCATTAAAAATTGCAATGTTCTCACGGACTGAACTACTTTCTCAGCTGAAAAACAATAGGGGTCTCTGCAGAATCCAAACACAGTCTTAGTTTAATGCGTTACTGGGCATTAAGCTACACACCTAGCATCTTTATCTAACCTGCCTACAGGAGGCTCCACCAAAAGCTTTCCAATGTCATGATCAAATTAACCCCCTTTGTCAATACAAGTTTGAGGAGCACAATGTTGTGAAGGAAGGTCAACACACGTACCAAATCTTCATCTACTTTAGTGTTAGATCTCCTTCACCTTGGAATCCTTAAAAAGCTGCATTTTAGTGCACACAATCTGGTGCTTGAGTGCTTGGTTGGGTCCAGAACAGGACCCAAAGAAGCTCCCCTAATATGTATGCGGCAAAGACGTATAATGAAAAAACAATAAAGGTATGTGACTTTATTTCTCATCAGAGAAACAGAGAATAACTCAGACCTTATCGCATTGTCTAACAGATCTTTTGACTTGTCAAGATGAACAATCGCTCTAGCAATATTTGTCTTCCTCTGTTGACTGGAAATGAGCATTTCCACTCTGGCAATGTGTAGCATGTTAGCAGCAATCTGTCATCATAGAAAGAAATCAAGCTTAATTAAAATGTATCCTCAATTTTTTCTTTTCATTAAAATCGCAGGAAAACAAGAGATGAGGACCAAACAAAAGAGAATGAAGGTTTCGTCCTTTAATCTTTCACTTTGTACACGATTGAGCTCAACTAGATGTTGACTATTGTTATAAAAATTTAGCAAGAACCACAGCAAACAGCACTGACAACAAAAGCAGATATAATGAGAAAGAAATGTACAAGGAACTTTCTTTTTGGGATAATTTTTTGGGGAGGGAGAATCAAAAATACCACACCTGGATATGGTCTTTCGGAAGTAAGGTTTCTCGGGCATCAAGGCATCTGTAATGGGTAAATAAAGCATTTATTCTCATTTGGAAGTTACTGCTTATTCAGTTAGACTAATTATCAATTTACCTTTCTAGGAGCTCTTGTGCTTCCCTCAAGCTCCCCACCGACTGAAGGGTCAGGGCAAGGCCCTCAGCTGCAATTACAGTGTCCAATGAATTCCATCCCTGTATCATAAGATACTGTAACTCATTCATCAACACAACAAAAGAAAAAGAAAAAGGAAAAAAATCACAAAAAATACCCAACATGATGGGTGAGACCTTTTAATAAGAAGAAATGAGCAAAACAGTGGCCAAAACGCAATGTGCTGTCTCACGTCAATAAGTGAGACCTTTTAATAAGCAGAAACGAGCAAACCAATAAAACAAATGTAAACAGTACCATAAGTCAAAATTACAAAGCCAACTTGAGAAAGAGAATGCATGCGAATAACTACAAAGATATGGTCCAAAAATAGCATGATTGCTGGCATGGTATTAAAACAATAAAGGTTCAGACTGAAATGATCAGAAAAGAAAACAAAAGGAAATTTAAGGCAAAGTGCTTTGGACAACAATTGATGTTCACCTCTTTCAAATATCTTTGAAATCTTAGAAAATTAAAGGTCCTACAAACATTTTTTGCTAAAAAAAAATCTTAGAATAAAAGATTTTTAAATTAAATTGACAAGCCTACAGATCATGTATGAGTATTTGTTCTTCACTNAAAAACATTTTTTGCTAAAAAACAATCTTAGAATAAAACATTTTTAAATTAAATTGACAAGCCTACAGATCATGTATGAGTATTTGTTCTTCACTTACATGTGGTGTCATACAAAAACAGCCTCTGATTTGTTGGTTAAGACAAAAACGTACACCCAATGTCAAAAGAACATAGAGGATCCAAGAAAGTGAAAACAAAAAAGAGAAACAATCGAAAAGTGATCAGATTGGTATTCTTTTTTGGGAAAATCTATATTAACTCATTCTGTAATGAAGGAGAAACTGCCTCGCTACCAGATCTTTACATACAATCTTGGCCTAGTATGTAAGCAAGAGGATCAGGGGTGAGAATTCCCCAAGTTATAGGCAACACTACCATCCTGTCCAGCAGAATAGTTCAGATAAATCAAGAGGTGATCCACCAAATCAAACCCTACTCTTGCATATTTCCGAGCATTCAACCCTAAAGAGCACATACACTTGTTAGGAACATTATTACAGAGTGGTCGCTGGTCACTGATGACACAACATGTAATGCTAAGCAATGGACCCATCACAACATAATATTCTCCTCTTTGGGCTACCCCACTCGGCTTGAAAACATGTTGTACAATGTAAATCCAAAAGTATCACAACTCACTCTTATAATGCACTTCACACATTTCGCCATGCGATTTGGGTTGAGTACAGCACGCATTTAGAAAAGATTGTTGAGGTGTTTGGCATGGTCTCTAGGTTAAAGGTTATTATGGATAAAAGCTTAATTATAGGAATAAATTCCAGCCAGGAGAAGATTGAGAGGTTGGCTACGGATTTCGAGTGTCTTGTGGGTGATTGTCCATTGAAGGATGTAGGTCTTCCTTTAGGTGGTAATCCGATGTCTACATCTTTCTGGGATCCTGTTATTGAGAAGATAGGGAGGATGTTAGATGACTGGAAGAAAGTCTTTATTTCAAGAGGGGGTAAATTAACATTAGTGTAGTTTGTGTTGGCAAGTATCCATATTTATTTCTTGTCTCTCTTTAGGATGCCTTGTTTGGTGGTAAGGAGAATTGAAGGGATGATGAGGGATTTTCTATGGGAAGAAAATGGGGAAGGAAAGAAAGATCATTTGATTTGTTAGGATGTTGTGTCCAGGCCTAAAGCGAAAGGAGTACTTTCAGTGTGGAATTTGTAGAAACTGAATATGGCCTTGGTTGGAAAATGGTTGTGGAGATTTCCATTAGAGCAAGATTCACTATAGCATACGGTTATTAGAAGCAAATATGGGTTAGAGGCTAATGGGTGGGATGCTAACGAGGTTGAAACGGATACATTCTGGAGACTATGAAAATTTATTTCTTAGTGGTTGTTTAACTTTTCTCAAAGGGTGAAATTCATTACGGGAAATGGAAAGAGAATTCGTTTTTGAGAGGATATATAGTGAGGAGAGTCTTCATTTTCTAGTCTATGTCCTCGTCTTTTCTAGTTACCATGGACATTGCATCTTTAGTAACTTCTTATTCTTTTTCAATCTCTTGGGATTTTGGATTTCATAGGAATAATAGGAACATTTGGAGTTGTTGCTACTACTTTCTATGCTCAATAATGTTTCTTTGTCCCTAAATTCTATCAATAAAAGAGTTTGAAGTAGTGAGACTTCAGGTGTTTTCTCTTCTAAATCTTATTTTGAATCCTTAATTGATAATTCTTCATTCCCATTATTCCATCCTTCCTTCAAGATTTGGAAAGCCCAGATTCCTTTAAAAGGGCAAATTTGTGCATGGATAATTGCTCGTAATAAAATTAATACTAATGATGTGCTTCAAAAGAGGAGACCTACGACTTGTCTTTCACCACAATGGTGTGTAATGTGTAAAGGGAAATGTGAGAGTGTTGATCATCTATTCTAACACTGTCCTATGGCTTTATCTCTTTGGTACAAATTATTTGACTTTGTTAGCCTTTGTTAGGTGACACTGAGATCAATGACATCTATATTTTGTTTAGATTTTAATGGGTTCAGAGGAAAAAGAAAATGAAAAATCCTTGGCATTGTACTCCCGAGGAGAGGCCGTCTAATTCTAGGTGCATACCGAGGAAAAGGGCTCAGCAACAGGGGATTGAATCCCACCTACACTGCAGCTACGAATGTGGAAAGGGCGTGGTGCTACTATTTGGTTTGTATGAAAGGAGACAAATGCAAGAACCTTTGATGAAAATGGGAGGAGTTTGAGTGGTTGTGGGATCAGATTCATTTATTGGCTTCTTTTTGGGCATTGATGACTAAGGAATTTGATAATACTCTGCTCTCTAGCATTATGGCGAATTCGAAAGCATCATGCGACTTGTAATTTGGATTCATTGATCAACTTTTGCTTTATTTTGAGTCTACTTTTATTCTTCAATGGGTTGAACAACTTGTCAACCTTTGAAGGGCTTTTTTTATCATTTTTCTCACTTTTATTATTACTAGCAATACACGACACGACGTGCATTGCATGTAAATAAATTTAAATAATATTTTTTTTTAAAAAAAATTATATGTATAATTAAATTAAACAATAAATTAAGTGTTGAATAATTAATCCATATTTTAATTATTACTAAATTTAATTATTAATTTATTCTATAATTCTTTGAGTACCTAATCTATTATTTATTTAAATATCGCTCTGACCCCTTTAGGTATTTGTACATCTAATCATATTATAGAATTATTAATTTTTATTTTGTTGAATAGATTGATTAAATCGCTTCTAATATTATTATATTATTGCATACCAAAAAATAAAATATAAGATATATATAACCGTGAAATTAAATCTGATAACTTCATGTATATAATAATTTAACATATATATAACTTTATTTTTCATATAGATATAGAAAATTGTATATAATTATACTACAAATAAATGAGTTCAAAAGATGAAAGTATATAAGTGGGTATAATTGACTTTATTATAATAATTAGGGATAAAATAGGAAATCAAAAAAATTTTCACAGATGTTACCATTTATAAGTAGCTATGAAGCACGGACACTCTCGAGAACGTGACGTATCCGTGTTGGACACCGACACTCTTCGGACACTCTCGGACACGTGTCCAATATTCTTTTATCCATGTCTATAATTAAATGATAAATTTTTAATTTCGCACACGTATCGGACACTTCTTTGATGACGTGTCTGACACTTGTTTAGAATATGTCTACTATTAAACAATAGACATTTGTTGAAATGTGATTAACAAATCTTAAAAATTTGAGAAAATATAATTACTAATACTAGACATATTAAAGTTTTACTCCAAATATAATAATAAAAACAAAACATGCATAAAAGTTTTAAAAAAGAGGAATTGAAAAAATGAGAATAATTATTTAAATTATATATTAGGTACACATTGTCTATACAAAAATTGATGATTATTGACTATAATAAGGACGTTTTAGTCTAAAAATTCACATAGATGACTAGACATTAGGTTTTCTTATCATAAAATACTGATTTTTTTATAAATTGTATATTATTATCACTATATTTACAATAAATTATATAATGTCATATATAAAATATAATTTTTTTGTAGCGTGTCATCAGCGTGTCCGTGTCCTACTTTTTTCAGAAATATCGTAACGGCGTGTCCGTATCGTGTCGTATCCGTATCCCGTATCCCATATCCGTGTCCATGCTTCTTAGATAAGTAGTATAGATAGATTAATAAAATAGTTGTTTCTTATTGAAAAAGGTACAGGATGCATAAAAAACATAAAGAAGTATCACACAGGTGCAATGAATATAGTGCAATGCAATTCATAAACACAAGTTTATTGTTGTTACTTCCAGATTTAGAAAAGAGCTTGGACATCAAAAATGAAAGAAAACTGGATGAATGGACCAATTTCAGTACATATGAATACATTTACAAAACGGAACTTTTCATTGAAAGCATTATAATGCTGCCACACAATGCAATCAGAACCAAAATAAAAGAGGGAACATATTCCACAAAGAAGAGGAGGAAATTAAAAGTAAAATCTTTAGCTACATTAAACATAAACAGTGTCTTCTGAAGGCACTCATAAAGTAATAAAATTCAAAATACACCTTCACGAAATGAGTAAACCAGACTAGAAAGAAAGAAAGGGGAAAACAGAAAGGTAAAACCTTTGATAATTCCATCATACGCAGAATCTTTCTCTGTACATTCTCAGCATCTGCAGGTCGATTGGACTTTACATAAATCTAAAAAAAATAGAAAGAATATAAGTAGCTTGAACAAGAGAGAGGTAAAGCATCCAGACACATGGAATGCATATTTAGATTAAAGAGAGGCAAACATAAAAAATATGAGTACTGCAGTTGAAGTGAATACAAAGCAGTGGTAATTGGTATCATTATGATCAGAACGAATATGAAAAAGCATAGGCATACAATCGTGAGGCCAGGAAGCATTTTGAGCATGTATATGTTCATCACCTTGGAAAAACAATGAATTATAGCAGCAGCAAGACAATCATTTCAGCTCCGAATTATTTCCGGAAAAAAATTGTTGAAATTGTTGACTCTCGACTTTTTGACATTTCTAGAATACAAACATTTTCTTCCCAACTCAAATAATAAAGTGCTTCACAGGTGATGGACATGCATTGATCATTTTTCAGATGCACATTAAGTTTATATCAAGAAAACAGGTGTTATCGCACTGACAAATGCCTCTAGACCACTAAGAACCTCATTAGAATGATCAATTATTTCAAAGTTAGGAGCTAAGGGAGCTTGAATCCCACTCATAAGTGGGGGGAACCCTTCTGGGGCTAGGGGACAAGACCAATGCTAAAAGTTGGAAGAAAAATCTGCATACTGAATGAATGTGCAAGCTAATCTTGGTGTTCCGTAAATATGGTCACTAAACCAGGAAGATTCGGGGAACAACCATATAGTAATTTTTACTTGAGTTAAGAACTGGCTCCAAACCAATCTTCTAAGAGAACCTCTACTTCTCAAATCCATGATGTTATCTTCACCCAAGCCAGCCAACTCTGAACACCAAATATATCAGTTCATCTGAAATTTGAAGACGTAACTTGGGAAGATTAAGGAGGGAAAAGATACCACTTTTATCATTACTCACATGATACAATATGATCCTATTTATTCTTTTAAAATCAATACAATTTTAGCCAAACAAAATAAAATTATCCATTCCCATCAACATCATCTTATACTGCCCGCTATTTTTTTGCCCCCTTAGGGTTGGGTGGGGAAGTTTTATAATGGCAGCTCTCAAAGAAATACCAACCCTCAGATAACTTCCTCACATTTCAAACTGACCATTAATCAATACTACTAATAAAAGTGGCTTAAGTGAAAATTTTTTGATTTTATTATTTATCCTTCAATAATTCTATAATGTCTATTTTATCCTTTTTAAAGTGGATTAAGAGAAAAACTTTTGATTTTCTTATTTATCCTTCAAAAATTCTATAATGTCTACTTTATCATTTTTTGTGGAACTTTTTTATTTTTTTATTAGTTGCATTAATTCAACTAATAAATTCATTGATTGACTTTTGATTATCTTCTTTTTAAATAATATAAATTCGATTCAAATCTGATTTAAACAATGTAATTCGAATCCAATTCAATTATCCAATAAATTTTATTTTTCACGGTGCATATGAGTCCGTTAAAATAGATATCTGTTCTGGTTCGAATAAGTTGATTGAAGACGATTTTAACATTTAAAGTATGGATTTCTATTCAATTTTATTAAATAATCACCAAATTACATCATATTTTTGTATATGTTTGTACATATGTAGTGCATATCCAAGTTTGCTAAAAAATAAATATTTGCATAGATCTAATAATCTATATACTACTTTTGAATGTCAATACTTGTCAAAAAAGACTTAATTAATAATACTATACTTAAAAATAAAAGACAATAAAAACCTATGGTAGTAAATTCTTATTAGTCCAAGAAATCAATAGTCATCCATCTATTAATCACTTACTAAAGTTTAACATTACAGTTTTTAAATGCAATGCAATTCAATTTTTTATTTTTTTTTAACATTATACAATGCAATTCATACAACCCAAAATACAAGAAAAATCTTGAATGTAACAGTTACCCCACATCAGCAATGCCACTTTGTGTAATCGTCCATGTGAAGAAAATTAGTTCAATTTATCTATTTTTTTTTTTACAAAAGTTCAATAATAGGCGTGCAATACACGTGTGCACCAACTAGTATGTATAAATGTCCAACACGTAAACACAAACTTCAATTACAGTTCGAGTATGACATTTTAACTGCAGATCTGGGTTAATTCTTTTCCCTAGTTCACTTGTAAAGAGCTGGACTTGCACAAACAGCCACACTCTTGCTTGGCCGTACAAGAGATTCAATAATGCCCTAATTGCCATCACTGTATATGTGTTAATCAAATAATGCCCACAAACAAATCCATCCTTCACTAGATGCATGGTAAATTGAGGCTTAACCTGAGCAAGATACCGCAGTCTCCGAATGCATATCATAGATTCTCCAAGCCCACCTTGCTGCATGATCAGATAATGCACAGAATAAGAAGAAAGAAACTTACATATGTAACATTAAAATGTCTAAAAGCAGCATATGTTTTCAAAAACAAATTATGCACCTCAAGTATCCAAATAGAATCCTGAATGAGGGCTTCAGAATCCTTCTCTTTTCCCTGAAGATATAACACCTGTATGTTGCGTCAGATAGTTCATGTCAGTTGCACAACTAAAGCATGGACAAAGATAGAAACAAGAAAGAAAAATTAAGACCCACCTAGAGAAATGATCCAACTTTAAAAGGTTGGTTGACAACAACAAAAATAATGCCAATATTTGAAAATGTAAAGAAGCTCTTTAACAACTTCCAGATACAATGAGTATAAACACGCTAAGATGTTCTAGAAAGGCCTGAACTGATAGAATTATCACAGTATAAATAGTCCTTGATCAACCAAAAATAATTGAGAGATGCTCCAATAAGAGAAAATATGAAAAATAGTGAATCGCAAATGGTAAATCAACATTATGAACAACAATTTCACAAAAGATTGCGCTCTTCAGAATGATGATTTTGAGAGAGTTCGCCTGTTGCTTTCTCTTTATGGATAAATTTATTCATTAATTTTTTTTTTTAAAGAAATGGATAAATTTATTGAAATTAAGGTTACTACGTGCTTTTATATCTCTCCTGATTTCTCATTTTTTCCACCATCTTCCCGCAACATTTTTGTTTCCAAAACCACGGTAATAATGCTTCCAAGCAAAATTTTGATCCATGGTTTACCAATAAATTGGAGAAAGTTCTTCAGCGATTATGGAAGAAATATCCATCCCTGGAAGCACAACAAGATGATTAAACTTGTAGAATTACCATGCTTTATAGGTTTCTGCCAAATTCTAAAAAACTTACATTTATTTCCATAATGGAGGAATCACATACACCTGATCTGTATACTCATATGATTCCGTATCTTCATTTTATTTCTATAGTTGAGGAGTCATACATCAGATCTGTACACACACATAGTTAAGAGACATGAGACTACCTTGCCTTTACTTTAACATACGTAAACGAAATCTAATAATGTGAGTTTACCAGGATGAAATAGTAGAATGCAGCACATTGATGGCTTCATTATATACCTCAAATAAAGGCATGGAAAAATCAAACGAACATTGTTGTGGAAAATTAAAATAACAGAAAATCTACAGTACTACCGTTCCCAGATGAAACATTGTATCTGCATAGTCTGTGTGGCCCTCCCCCAGAACATGCCTTTTTATCTTCGTGAATAAAAAGTAATGTTAGATTACATGTCACAAAATTTACTAGGCAACAGCTATTAAAAAGAAGGATAGTAGGATGCCAAAAGTTAGATCGTACCTTTAGAGCACGCTGTCCAAAATATTGCGGAAAAAAAGCGACCACAAAAACAACAATATTATCAGGCCGCATAGAAAATATCAGCTTTTGCACATTGCATATGAAGATGGCCTAAATTTTTCAATAGGTAACTGTTTACCTGATAGCAATTACGAGCTTCTTCCAATTTCCGCTGTACAAGATAGAATTGACCTAGGTTGTGAAGGGCAGCCCCAACACTGCACAATAACAGCTAATAGGGGTCAGATATATAATTCCCACACTTAATTAATGGTGCTACAAGAAGAAGACAAGCAGTTGAATAATCATCGACTTCATTTGAAACGAATCACAAAAGTGAAGTCCGTTGTCTATTCTTGAATTGATCATGCCAGCAATATGCCAATATCCAGGCAATAGAAAGGAACCATATTCTGAGTGAAAAAATTGAGGAAAAAAAAGACACACACAGAGAGGCAGCCACAGCTTCCAAGTAATCAGCAATATAAATGCAACATAGATTAAATATCATCATTAAGCAGTGTTCGAAAAATTTTCATCGTTGTATTTTTTCTTTGCTAACTAATAAAAAAGAATCCACGAAATGCCCAAAAGAAAGGATTTGATACCCAACTTGACATATTTTGTACAGTCAAAACTTGAACAATTGTATATTATGGTTTAGTAAAATAAAAAAATAAAAAAAGGAAGAAGGAGAGAGCAAGGATCAAATTTTGTTTCGCTACACTGTTTTGGTCACCTAAGAAACGGATACATTTCGACTTATTTCGGAAACGTTTCAACTCATTTCGAAAACAAAATGAAAAATATAAAAAATTTAAGAATTATTTTTTCAAACATTGATCGAAATAAACCAAAGTATCTTGAAATACCATGAAACATGACGAAAAAATTGTGCAAATGTATTGAAATATTATAAAACATCTTGAAACATTATGAAACAACTCAAAATATTAGAATTTTAATTCCATCACTAATTCGTTTAGGTCTCTTTAGAAACGGAATCGTTTTAGACATTTCGATGTTTCAAAACGAAATTTTGATCCTTGGGAGAGAGAAAGAAAGAGATTATGAAGCAATATTGGGTGTAGGGTATGTATTGCCTATGCCCTATCACCTATTTATATTACATTGATATTGAAGACAATTAAATATCAAGAAAATAAAATATAATATGAAAGCAACATAATAGAAAACTAGAAGAATTTGAAAGTAACACTCTAACAATCCCTCTAAAGTTGTAGCATGGAGATAAAAAATGTCCAGCTTTGGAATAAAAGCTACGAAAGGTGAACTGCGGTAATGGTTTGGTAATATCACAGAATTAAACACCAGACTTTACAAACAGCATCGCAATATCTTGCATAAACAATAAGAATAATAAAACCGAACCACGGTCTAGGTAACGGCTTTAGACCATACAAGGACTTCTTTAATCAATGCATACCACAATTCTCCCGGTGAAAAACAAACTCAGGTGGTTACTCCATGTAAGCCTTTTAAGACACATTACCATGAAAAGGGACATTTTTAACATTTAACCGACAAAGCAAAAGTAGAAGCTGATGAAGAGGGAATTAACAATTTATGTGGTATTACTTGAGCATATCCCTTCCATGATAAAATGATCAACTCAGAGTCGGTGACCAAACAACATCGGACTCATCGATCACACTGAATTTAGGGGTAGAACAAGGTGACGGCAGAGGACAATCACAACAATACTGCGACAACAACATCGGCCCAAATAAACATAACCATCAACACTATAACGAACCATCAACAAAAACAAATTCAACCGCAACAATCAAACATAGGGAGAACCAGAGTTGATTCAGCCAAAAAGGAATCGATGCTGAAAACCACGAAACTAATACTGAATCAGACTTATAACTACAAAACTGACACTGAATCAAGCTGAAAACAGCTGAACCGACACTAAACTAGTCTAGAAATCATGAACTAGCACCAAACTGACCTAAAAACCATAGAACAAACACTAAATTGGACTGAAAACACTTAACTGATAGAACCACTAAACCTATAAGCTAAGGAAAAACCCACTAAATCAGAACTAAACCCTGAGCAGAGATGAAAATCACTAAACCAATATCAAATTGGGTCGAAAACCCCTAAACCGACATTAAATTGGACTTCAAACACTAATCTAGAACTAAATTGGGATGAAAACCACTAAACCAACACTAAATCATGCTAAAAACACTAAACTAGAATGAAAACCACTAAACCAACACCAAATTGAATTAAAAACCACTAAACCGACACCAAATTAGCTAATGGATTGGACTAATTGTCCATCCATCCTCTCTTATTGCACTACTTATTTTTTATCATTAAGAAAACTTATGTTATTTATTAAAAAAAAAAGGATGAAAACTACTAAAGTAGCATCAAATTGACACCGACGACACAAAGCACAAACCACAACAACTAATGGTGATTACAGCAAGCGATCAACAAAAAGACATCGATGACAGGAAAACTATAACTTAGAGTGAGTTTGGCAGTGACAACAACTGTTGAACACAATGACGACTACAACTTTGATGTGTGCGGGAATGACCCTAGGCGAGTGATGCCCTCGCACAGCCCCCACTCACACAAGTATATTGCTCTGATAACAAGTTAAAACTTGAATACTTGTATATTACGGATGAGGAAAAGAAAGAAAAATAGAGGAAGAAAGAGATAATAGGAAAATTGACATAATAGAAAAGTAACGTAATTGGAAAGTAACACTCTTACCATATTTACCAGAACGCTAGCCCGCCGACATATTTATTTGTACAAGAAAAAGCGAACTACATGTTTATGTACGCCAAAATAAAAAACACTGATTACACAAAACCTCAACAAGAAAATCTATAAAAAAAATGAAAAAGATTGTTTGAGCCAAAAATACATTGTACTAACTATCTATTCCTCCAATCTATTGATTTAAAACTTTGCTCTTCAACAATTCAAGTTCTCATTGCGGTAAACAACGCACCAAGCAAAGGCCAAGAGAAAAATCACTATACTTCCTAATTGTCTTTCTAACATAACTCGTATTCCAAAAAAAAAAAAAAAAATCACCAAACTCGTAGGCATAAACCCATACCAGTACACCTCACACAAAGCCAACAACACATGCCACAACTTTCTTGGCCATGCCTCCACATCAATTTTTTCCGACAAAGACTGGAGCACTTTCAAAAGTTCCTTCATGTTTGTTTGCCTTTGCATACGGATCTCTCATCTTTCTTCCTATATTACCTCTTTAATTTCACAGTCACATCATGCAAATAAGTTAATGAGTTAGACAAGGTTAGAAACATGGTTATGATATCACACATCCTCATAAATATGCATCCATCTTAAAACAATAAAGAGATGGACCTGCAAATAGATGCATGTGCCATTATGTGATATCCAAATCATCTTTCTCCATACACATATAAGCATATCAATCAACTTGTAACTAGTTTTTACATTGAGCATAGCCTACCAAGAAACAAGAAAGTGTACCGTATGTCATCCAATCCAAATGACTCCTCAAGTATATTAATGGCCTCCAAATATAATGGTTCCGCTTTATCAAACGCCTTTTTAACTCTATACAACTCTGCCTGCGATGAAGATAAAAGAAAACAATAAGTTCTGATAAAGTACTATATTTACAAAAAGATCAAGTAACCTGGATTTTGTATTCCCAAGAGATCAATTCTCCTTTCCTCAATGAGAATGGTGTTATCACTGGATATGGTTTCTGGGACAAATTCTCTTGCACCGATTCCTCACAACATGGCATCTCAAACATGCCAATGTCTTGATTATAAAGGTTCATTTCGTGTACATTCTAGGACCGAAATTATATAATTCATGATCCCAAAACTTCCAGCAAATATACATTGTTTAAAGGAAAGGTTTAGATAAAAATTACCAACAAAAACAAGGTGTTTCGGTACTTGTAAGGGCCAATGAAAACCCAATACAACTACATTATTTGTATCCAGGATTCATGCACTCAAATTTCCAAAAAAAAAACTTGGAAACAGAATCAACAAAATCTGGGAAGTCCACAAATATATCAAGATAAGTACAGCATGGAGAGCTTTGCAGGACCGGAGAATTTTGTTCCACATGATTATATTTCAGCAAATAGCATCCAACCCAAGTACCGAACAATTGATGGTGGAGTATCAAGTATATGAACTAATCTTGGGTGTAATCAATTTTTCGATTGGATAGCTCTTTTCACACCTTCCCTCATGTGTGACTTGGGCTAGCACGTGAGCTAAAATTGAAGACAAACAGACAAATAAACTTGATTTTAACTGAAAACGATAGAAAAACATACCAAAATTCAAATAGGTGAGAGGCTTGACCCACCAATCACCTACCATCCAGCTCTGATACTATGTTAGAGCCAAAACTAACTGGTGATGGGTAGAGTAGCTCCCCAACTATATGAACCAATCTTGGGTGTAATTTTTGATATGGGATAGCCCTTTCACAAAATGAATACTGATTCTATCATATTTCATCAAAAACTAGCAAAAACCAGAAATTTTCTTTGCCCCCTCTTGCTCATTTAAACAATCTAAAAAGAAAGCACCATGTGTACTTTTTACTAGAAGCTCCACCTAGGTGATATTTTTATTGTCCACTTTTCTGGACTATCCCTAAAAGATCATACAACTTCGAGGATTCTAGCATATCAATCTGACAGCTCTATTTCCTCAGTTGAAAGGACTTCTTCAATGGGCAAAGAAAGACATCTAAAGAGAAGATTAGTTGTATATTCGACTTCAGATTCAGACTTGGATTTGTTAATCCGATTAGGATTAGCATAGATAGAATATGACCCATATCTAATTCGCTAACAGGCCTACTGCCCATATGAACAATCAGGATAATTGCTGCAACTCAATCATATCCCCAAATAAGCCTCAAACAAGGAGTTGATGTTCCAGGGCCAACACACTTGATCCTAGTAAAAACAAAAGAACTCTGTCAAAGAGAAAAATATGGGCTAGAGGATGAAAAAATGAGTAAAAATTTCATGACCCCTTTTGCACATCACTAAAATTTAGGGTTAATCATGTATCATGCTTCTCAACTAGAGCATCTCATTGGTGTTGTCCTTGTTAGTAGCTCCTAATGAATAGTAAGGCTTTTCAATAGCCAAATCATGTTAGCGTCCAGAAAGGGGGAAAATCCAATAAAATTCAGGTGAAAGTAGAACTAGGTGAAAATAGCCACTAGATGCCAAGCTCATGTATCTCAAAATACTGTGCAAATAAACCACTATTTTTCTAGCGCATGCATCTCTTAACACAAGTGGACACTGAGACAAATGCTATTAATAAGAAGAAGAGAACAATAAGAAGAAAAGAAGATAATGCTTTCCACACTCCTTCATTAAGCATCCTGCAGCAATGGAAGTTCCAAGAGGGAGAAGCTGCAGCATTGGAGATACCAGATTAAATTGGGAATTATATGAATTGGTACCTCATGGAGATAAACATTTTAAACAAGCAAGAAATGATTCTTCACCCATCACAAATTCTCGCCGAACCAAATCCTAGATCCATTGCAAAGATGAGCAGTTTTTTCTTCAGTATGCCACCAAAGAAATGACTGATGAGCTTTCCATGGAGAAAGTGAGATTAATCTAGAAGCCTCATTAAATCCCAAAGATCTGCTTGAAGAACATACTCTCTTGATCAACTTAAGTCAAAGATGGCTTTCCTCTTCTTGAATTCTTTACAATCAATTAGCTAAAAACACTATAATCCTAAGAGTTAAGAACCCACAACCTGCCTACAATTTTGGGGAACAATGCATCTACAAAGAAATTAAGACAGGAATCAGAATTAGTTTGGAACTCATATCTTGCGAGCTGTAACAATATGACAGGTCATCCTCCAGTTAGTCTAAATAGAACAGTAGATATTTGGTGTCTCCTAATTTTGTGGGAATTCCTTTTCTTGATTAGGGCGGATTGGAGATCCCGATGCAAAATGTAACTTGAATGAATCGTTTTTCTTTTCTTTCCTTTTCCTTATTGATGGATTACTCATGCTTAATACGACAAGTTATCACTTATCCACAACAAAAATAGTGCCAATCCTTAATCATCATCTGATTCATACACAAGTCTATAATTATACACAACACATGCACAAACGTATCACCCTTAAACAAGGGCCCTTAGCTTCAAAACAACCAAGAAAATTTGATAAATTAATACTATTACTTCTTTGGAAGGTGCTTATATTTTTCCAGCTGCAATTACCATAATGTTTAAAGTACACTTTTGCAAACACAGATGAAGAATAAGAAGACTATAACTTCATTAACAACCTTTTTTACACAATTCAAAACAGCTCTGCAGAGGACCCACCAGATTGTTGTATGCAGATGCAATATGAGGATCCTTTTCACCAAACCCTTCTTTAGCTTCTTGTAACGCGGATAAAAAGAAGCATTCAGCTTCCTCCAGTTTTCCCTATAAGAAATAGAATGAAAATACAAGTTAAGGAAGAAATGAAACCCTAACTGCCACACAAATGGAAAAACAAAAAGAATAGCACAGATCTGAGCAGATAAATGCTTGCCTGCAAAAATAAATCTCTTCCATTATCTGTAAAAACTCTCCATTTTGATGTATGTAAATTTGATACCACAGACCCATCCTCAATTTTACGTAAGCCAGTTAGGCTAGCCTCACTTGCATCATTTTCATAACTTAATTTAACTGAAACATCTTCTGCTAATACAGGAATGGCACTCATCCCAATAATCACTGCTGCTGGAAAAAATTTAACATGTTCACAGAAAGATAAGTTTGTTGATAAGCTTTTTAATTAAGCTAGAAACTCAACAATGTTGCAACCCAAACGCTAGACACGTGTACTGTAAAAAAGGGCTACATAAACACCATTTAAAATATGCTATTAATGGACAAGTGAATGGCTTCAGTGTTTCTATGTAAATAAGAACATTGCTTTTTTTATAAGCATAACAAAGTCTCCTGGAAATGATAACAGTGTGTGCAAATAATTAAAAAACATACCTAAATCAAGAATATATATATATATATATATATATATGTATATAGGAGAATATAAAAATACAACGCTGTAACATAAACCAGATATAGCCTCATCAAGGCAAACTGACCAACACTATACCTTTAAAGCTCAGCAATCTTTTCAAGTGACAAATAACAAAAAGACTAACATCCGCTTACCCCAAATCCCAATCACCCAACTCAAAAATAACTTTTGCAATAGCGCGATTTCGTCCATTTGTAGTGGACTCTGCTTTTGCCTAACATTCATTCCATTGGGCAAACACAGCCTAGACCCATAAAAACTTTCAAACAAGGATCAAAATTTTATATCGGTGCATTGTTTCGCTCACCAAGGAAACGGAAACGTTTCGAAAACATTTCGACCTATTTCGAAAATAAAATTAAAACGAATAAAAATTTGAGAATTATTTTTCTAAAATATTGGTCGAAATATACTAAAGCATCTTGAAACCTCGAAACATTCTGAAACAATTGTATAAATGTGTCAAAACATTATGAAACATCTCGAAATATTAGAATTTCGATTTCATGATTGATTTGTTTCGGTTTCCTTAGAAACAGAAACATTTCAGCTGTTTTGAAACAAAATTTTAATCTTTGCTTTCAAAGGCACACAATGAATATTCAAGTACTAGTCAAAACAGAAAAAGGACCGACGAAGATCCTGTACTTGGTCAATGTACATCAATAATGGAATCAGACCCACGTAGTGGTCATCAATTTAAGCACCAGCAGATGCACAAGAAGGGTCTAGAAAACCTAGATTCCTAGAAAAAAAACTCATATGGAACCTTCAAATTGATTTGGGTGTTACCTGGGTTGGCTACCAGTCTCTTAGACGTTCTAAGGGTCAAAATATGATCTTATAGTTGCTTTGTAAATTCCTGACTTATTCAATTTATTTTATTGGAGTCTAAGAGTCAGGATGAACTTACACCCGGTAGGATCAAGCGCAAAATGGGATCAAGTTTACACCCTACATATCATTGCATGGGACTCATATTTTATTAATCCGACCATTGCATTAGCTTTAGATATTTGTCATAGGTGCAAAATTAATCTCAGCTAGAGGCCGATAGCTACCGCATTAAAGAAAAGGTTAAACAAAAAATTATCAATTCATCTGCAACCCCACCCAGCCCCTCCCAAAAAAAATAGAAAAAATAGGAAAACTTATTCAGAGTTTCTTAGTCTCTCAACCCAGTAACTATGGACAAGGACCAAGACTTGTATCCATATTTCCAACAAGGCCGAATTCATCCACCATCACCTCTCCTAGAATCAACACCTCTTCTACTGGTTAAACAATGAACCCAACACCACTCAAACGCATGGAGCAGAAAAATGAGATATCTCAACGCCCCATCACCATGATTTTAGGGGGAAAAAAATAATAATAAGACAAACGAGATCAAAACTATTTGCCGAAGGCCCTTTCAAAATAAAAGGGAAACAAACTTTAGGAATTCAAGAGTCTATCTCCTCCGCATCAAGTCCCTAAAACCCATCTCTTTGGAACTGACACAATAATTAAAGCATTTAAGCTTTTATAAAACTCTAAAGCATAAAACTTGAGCCTGATGAGCCTAGGAAGTAAATCTCAAGCTTGCTTTAGGCGCTACTAGAATGATACTATATAGTATTTCTTGTATTTAATATATCGAGTCAGGTGACCAAAAATAGCTACATCTAATTCAAAAACATACATATATGGTATGTAAATCCATCAATAGGTTGAAATGCAACAAAATAAGATATAATGTATATAATAAGTTCAACATAATTGGGTTATATTCCAAAATGTTATCCTTGCTAAAAAATCAGATATTAATTTTCACCCACCCTTTCAATTTACTAACATAGATCAATATCGTAAGTCATGTACAATGAAAGAATTGGCCAGGGCTTCCAAACAAGTGGTAACCCAGTCCACTCCACACCACACCTTAGCCAAAAAATCTAGAAACTCGTGTACTTACACTTTTGTAACAGCTGAAATGATGCTCCAGAGTGAGTTTGATCTCCTTCATCAACTCCCCCCCCCCCCCCCCAAAAAAAAAAAAAAACAAAGCAGGGTAAACCCCTGAGCAATCCATACTTCGGAGAGACCATAAGCTTCTCATTTGGACATGAAAACTTGTTCATGAGGTTGGATAAGTACAATGCTGATGATCCACATGATATGGCCAGGTTTATCATTGTTAGTGAGCATATCAGTGAGGGGTACTAGGTTCATAAGAGTATAAACCCTATACCTACTTATATATTGTTCTATGAGGAATTGAGACTTACTGTTTTTTGCCCTGTTCTCTATCTGTACAAATTTTCTGTATGCTAAAATCATGACACCAGTGAGGGGTACTAGGGTCATATCGTATAAACCCTATACCTACTTATATGTTGTTCTATGAGGAATTGAGACTTACTGTTTTTTGCCCTGTTCTCTCTCTCTCTCTCTCTCTCTCTGTACAAATATTCTGTATGCTAAAATCATGACACCAACTTTTCAGCTTGGCTTGCTGCAATGAAGTAAAGAAGAAGGCAGCATTTTGTACAAGCCAGCTTTTTGGCTGCAAAATATCATCTCAATTGCGGAAAATATAGAAAACCCTCGTCTAACTTCTAGTCCTCTCAAACCTCATAAACACTTCTCTTCAACAATGTAATGTATGTCACTACAGAAAAATAGTACATTGGAGATACAACTAAAAACTGGTCAAACCCATTAATTTTCCTCCCTGCTGCTATGTCAAACCAAGATACCTTGGAATTCCAAATCACCTAGTCCTCAATAAGTTAAACTTTCACTTAAAAATTTTGACTTCTTTTGACTTTTGCTATCCAAAGAAGAAGAAGAAAGTTAACCATTGACATTCCTCACAAGACATAACTAGAAGGCATGCCATTTCTATTCAGGAAATGCTTGAAAACAATTTTGTTCAATATTCAAACGTTTTAATGGATAAACACTGTCAAGGTTTTGCATATATAGCCCTTACTCTCCCATAGTCTGCACAGGAGTGACAAAAAGAAGGTATTCTCAGACATGACTCTACTTTTGAAGGTAAGAAAAGAAGGGGGGGAACGAAAAAAAAACATATTTTCTTACAGGAAACGAAAAATTACAAGACCTTAGGCTATATCAGAGAAAGTGAAAGAGAAAGCATTGCCAGAGAAGCCATCCCCACATAACTCCAGCATAAGAAGTTAAATTCGTAATAGAGAGTATAGAGCATCTCCAAGAGAAATTGTAACAGCATTATTTTATTAAAAAACTCGCAGGTATACATTCAGCACGAAGAAAATTGGTTTTAGTTTAATTTGTCTTTTTTTTTTGTTTGGAATGAAAACAAATTATACCAGCTTGAGCAGGTTGGAAATTCTACACGCTAGCATTCCTATGTTGCCTCCTCTGAGCACCGGATTAACAAATCACAAACTCAATCCATCACCAAAACCACGATTATCATAAACGGAATCTAACTATCAAAAAACTCAATCAGGCTCAGCATACCAGCTTGTCCAGATAGTAAAATCCATTGAAAAGCATCCCTACATCGCCTACTCCCAGTATCGCCCCCAGAATAAGATTGACTCAGAAATATTGTTTTGCCTGAAACATCAAATAGGCAGCTAAAAAAAATGAGGCATTGAACAAAACCACAAAAAGATGTAGGAATTTTAATCAGTTCCATTATCAAGAAACATTTTTAATCAAAGTTTGATTGTGCCTATTCAACAATTTTTTTGTCATTATCATATTTATTCAAAACAAAAATGTTAATTTCAGTGCAAAAATACTGAATTACGAAACCAGGTTTGTCCCAACAACTACCATTGTGAATTTAAAACAGACTCACTTGCGGCCCCTTCATGGGGGTAATCCATATCCAAGTGAATAAAATGGTTGAAATGTTCGAAATTTCATTCTAAAGGATTTAACATATTTCCCATTAACACATGTCTAAAGACGCCAAATTGTGTGTTCGTTAATATTCATTTATTACGAATTCAATACCAAATGGCATGGAATCCAACCAATCTGGATTTACAGAGATTCAATTCCTGCTCCATTCTCACTATTAGTTAAAACCCAATCACATAACACGAATGCTATCTTCCTTCCCTTAAATTCCGCGAATTTTTAGTATTTTTTTCGGTGCAAAAATCCGCNTCAATCCATCACCAAAACCACGATTATCATAAACGGAATCTAACTATCAAAAAACTCAATCAGGCTCAGCATACCAGCTTGTCCAGATAGTAAAATCCATTGAAAAGCATCCCTACATCGCCTACTCCCAGTATCGCCCCCAGAATAAGATTGACTCAGAAATATTGTTTTGCCTGTAACATCAAATAGGCAGCTAAAAAAAATGAGGCATTGAACAAAACCACAAAAAGATGTAGGAATTTTAATCAGTTCCATTATCAAGAAACATTTTTAATCAAAGTTTGATTGTGCCTATTCAACAATTTTTTTGTCATTATCATATTTATTCAAAACAAAAATGTTAATTTCAGTGCAAAAATACTGAATTACGAAACCAGGTTTGTCCCAACAACTACCATTGTGAATTTAAAACAGACTCACTTGCGGCCCCTTCATGGGGGTAATCCATATCCAAGTGAATAAAATGGTTGAAATGTTCGAAATTTCATTCTAAAGGATTTAACGTATTTCCCATTAACACATGTCTAAAGACGCCAAATTGTGTGTTCGTTAATATTCATTTATTACGAATTCAATACCAAATGGCATGGAATCCAACCAATCTGGATTTACAGAGATTCAATTCCTGCTCCATTCTCACTATTAGTTAAAACCCAATCACATAACACGAATGCTATCTTCCTTCCCTTAAATTCCGCGAATTTTTAGTATTTTTTTCGGTGCAAAAATCCGCAAATAATCGGAGCAGAAATGCCCCGAATTCAGTACAATGCAGTAAAAAGGCTATGCAATTGAGCAGTGAAACTACCGGAATTGGGCAGAGAATTGGTAGTTCTTCCGCATGAAGTAGCAGTGACTGTTTGAGACGAATAACGGAGTCTCCTTTGCAAAGTAGATACTGCTCGTCGGAGATACATTATGGCTCTTGAGAAAGAGAATCTAATGTAGAAAACGAAAGAAAGCGCTTCGCAGGATAGTGATAATGTTGATTTTTATTCCCTCTTCTAAAACCCTAAACCCTCCGTCGCAGTATGGGGTTTGATGATCGGTGTCTTCTCGCCACGCAATGTACCGTGAGTGGATGCTATTTACACTTTAGGCCCCGATCTATTTTAAAAGTAACACTTTGCCACAAACTAATCAACTTTGCTCGCATGATACACTGTTTCTAGTTACAGTAATGCTATCCTAACAAAAATTATGGATCACATAAAAAGCTCAAATGACATGGTAGTTACTAATATGGCAAGATCTGACATGACAGTTAATCTTGTCATATCAACAATTGTCATATTATTTGGACTATTTATTTAGTCCCTAATTTTGGTTAACATAACATTGTTGTTCTACTTTTTTGTCCTATTTTGTCGGAGTAATATTTATGGGATCTAAAAAATTGATTAATTTGTTGATCTAGTAATAGAGTCTCAATTAAGAAGTGCAAGAGTTACAACCCAAGTACCAACAATCGTCGGTGACATCATGTAACATGGATTATGTGGTGTCACCGTTACATTTAATATTTTCTTTATTTTTTTAACCTACTTCAAATTTAAATATTTAAATTATTTAAAATTTAAAAATGAAAATCATGTTAATACATTAATATATATATATATATGTGTGTGTGTGTGTGTGTGTGTGTGTGTGTAAGTGTCAATTAATGTTAAGGTTAAGGAGAATTTGGTGGCATGGTGATTATTGGAAAACACAACAAATAATATCGCACGGGATTCTCTTTGATAAAATATGTTAAGATCATCTAAATTATGTGAGAACAATACAGAAATATATACCAATGTCAAAATAGCACAACGAACTCAATCAAAGATTTAGATGCAACTATCTGTCGACTATATCTCACGGCAATGGTAGAACTACTAGAATCATAAATAAAATTCCAAAAGATATTACATTAATAATCAAAGTTTCGAATACTATCAACTGAGCTTAGCTAACACCATCCCTTTCCTCATTTCTAAGAACACTCCTCAAACATGGTGGGAGGTCAGTTACCCAATGACGGGGGAGGTTGCCTCTTCTAGACAAGGCTGCTAGTGTGTAAGCAAGCTTGTTCTAACTCTTGATTGCCTAGAACTTGATCAGAGGGATCTGTTGTACATAACACCAAATGTCTTGTTGTATTGATGTTATATCCCTTAATGTAGCGTCAGGGCCCTTGCATAAACGTGTCAATTGTTATGTTGTGCATCACACTGCTTATCCTTACTAGTAATTATTTCAATCAGCACACATTGTAGCACATGGTAGGGTGATGATAGTCATATGTGGAGCCTGATTCTCCGTAAATGCAATGGGTTTTTCTATTTTGATTTGCTCTTTTATAATGATTGCACGTGTTATGTTGTATATGTTTTACTCACATAAATGCTAAAAACACTGTCACTACACGAATTCAGCACAACATGAATTTCCGACTACCTTTCATCCCCTCACTCATTGCTTCATTGGATTTGTTAGGGTGGGAATGGTGGCACAAGACTTCTCTCTTGGCCAACTGTTTGAATGTGTGTTCAATGGGCAACGTATAAAGGAAAAGGAAGAGAAATGTCTGATTGGAATGAAGAAGAAAAGTCTAAAAACATCACTTTATTACATCAAAGAATCAGAGGTACTATTGGAATTTCAAATATATTTTCCTACCATATTCTTTTTCGGTGTCGGAAAGATAACTCTTCAAGAGTAGAGAAATCTGGTCTCATTTTAAAAATATCAAAAGATATTCGCCTGATTTCAAAATATCTCAAGGAGGTAACCATGCAATTACTTTATATTTTATCTCATTCAAATATTAAAAGTCAATTATCCAAATATTTTTACTATAAATATCGAATAAAGAAAATTAATACAGGCTCAAAAATAATGACCAAAAGTAATTTAACATGTTTGAATGAAAACCTCCATATAACAATTATTGACAAGACTTACAGAAAAAAATAATCAAAAAAGAGAGCATATGTTTGAACAACTCAATTTGAAAAAAAAAAAAATACTCTCCTTTAAGAAAAAATGGTTCAACCCAAGTACCAACAATCGGACATTTTATTTATGCAAAACATGTGCAAAGAAAAATAATATGTTTACCCATAAGAGCAACTCCAAGGGGCTAAGTAAAAGGAGGTTTTTGGCTATTTTAGATAGTCAGTTCATAAATGTTGGCTCCAACGGGTTAGGTATCCCACTAGGTATTTTCCATAACCCGATATTTGCTTACTACATCTGGCAACCTCCCCGGCTAGCTACTTCATCAACAAATGCCATTTTTTGCGCCAAAATCCTCACTCGACATAAGCTCCATCATCGCTAAAATCCTCACACTCTTCTCTGCTAAAAATCACTCTTTCTCTCTCTTGCAGATAGTGGGTATCTCTTTATTCAGGCTAACAATCCGCATCGAACCCTTTTGATCCCATTTTCTGGAGCTCAAATCAAAGGTGAGTTTATGTTTTTTTGATTCATTAGAAGTTTTTTTTTGTTTTTTGGTCGGATGATTCATCAGAAGTTTGTATCACCATGTTTGCATTTGGGTTCCTGTGTATTGATCTGTATGGTCTCTCTCTCTCTCTCTCTCTCTCTCTCTCAGAATGGGGGAAGACGATGAGTTGATTAAAATCCAGTAACCCCCCAAAAAAAAATCCAGTAAAACTCCTCCAAAAATCCAACAAAACCCTTAAAAAAATTCAAAAATCCATCAAAAAACTCCAAGTATTTTATGATAGTTACTCTTGTAGCCCATCTTTTATGACAGTTACTCTTGTATCTCATAACTGATTAAATTTATACAATGTTTAGTTGAATTGCTATTTTTTGAATTTTATTATTGAAAGTTAGTTGAAGTGGTTAGCTAAAATAGATAGCGCTATTGGAGTGAATTTGAAAAAGTAATTAGCTAAAATAGATAATACAATATTTAAATATATTTTGAGTAGCTATTTTAGATAGCATTGTTAGAATTCCTCTAAGAATGTGTTAATGTTGTTTCATTACTTCTTGAGAGGCAACACTCGTTGCCTTCACCATAGGCATCAATATGTTCTCTATACCTCAGCCCAAGCTTTTCAATATTCTTCTTGATGATCTCAAAGATTTTCTTGATGGGAAGAGATTTGACATGGTAAATTGTCCCTTACATGAAAGATGCTAGTTGCAACTAATTCAATGAGAGGATTAATCTTGTTTGTCTTTGAATGTAATTTTTTTTTTGGTTTTATTTTGGGAGGGGGGAAGACACTTGTAATGACATGAGACTCAGATCCATTTGGCTCATGTGGGTGCATAATGCCATTCCACTAGACAGTCTCCTTTGTGTGAAACCTTGACATGCATTGTAAGAATTAATGTGGCTCATTTAATTTAACACATGTGATTTTACTGATTATTATCAGATAATTAATTTGGATTAGATGATGATAAGGTTACCAATGTTAATCTAACCGGTATAACTAATGATTTCTAATTGGTCAATGAGAAGAAGTGGTTTCTTGATATCCTACGTTGATGGGAAGTAGAGTTTATGTTGAACTAGGGAACCGGTTCTCTCTCCAACTATAAATATGCACATGCCCCATCGAGTTGTGTATCGTAAAAATAAAGGTCAGGAGAGAGAAATCGATTTTCGGGCTACACCAAAGAATGGTTCAATTCTTGATCAAGTAATTCAAGATTTGCAATAATGGCTCTAGGTATGTTGATTATGATGTTTTTAATTCTACATTATGATTATTATGAGTATGTGAAAATCTTGATTGTTCTAAATTTTGGAATTAGGGTTTGATTGATTTCTTTGATCAAACAAAGTTTTTATGTGGTATCAGTGTGTGAGTTAAAAACTCTCATGATTTTTCTTTAAAAATAACAATAATAATTAATGAGCCCGAATTTGACTAGGTCAGGCCCAATAAAAATAAACTAAGAAAGCCCAAAGAAGAGTCCAACTGAACTTGGGTCGACCCATCTGAAGGAAGTCCAAAGCACCAAAGGGACATAAAGAGGAAAATGCCTAAGGGAGTCAAGGGGCCAACGCCCAAGGATCCCCAAAGAGGGCGCCGCCCAAGGGTCCCAATTGGGCGCCGCCCATGCTGGCTCTCTCCTCTCCTTCGACCTTCACTTTCTCTTGCTCCTCTTCACCTTGCTACTCCAATTCGAGTCCAAGCCAAGCCTACTCAAGACAAGTCCAATTCCAAGACGAGGGTCAAGCTCAATCCAACTAATGTTCTCCTTCGGATGAATAGGAGCACGAGGGAAGATAATATGGAGATTGACATAGAAAATCTCCTACCATAACAATACTTGCCAAAACAATAGAATTTTTCTCCCTCACGTCACCGCATCTGCTACCTTACCCTAGTTATATAATGTAAGCCCTCTCAACATTGAGGGCAAGAGCCTCCAAAACCTCTACACCCACTCCTATACACACTGTTCTCTCTTATTCTCTCTCAAAAGCACTTTAACTCTCCGGAGACCATGATTCATCAATAAAAAACACTAGGCCACCGCTGCCGTTCCCGAGAGTGGAGTAGGTCACTCGAATCGAACCACTATAAATTCCTGGGTTGATCTATTATTTACTGTTTTACTCTTAATTGTCATTGATTGCTTGTTTATCACTCATTAATTGCACCCTTACACATACTTGACTATTGATCTTGCACGAAGACAATTTTGTGGATCATCAGTTTGGCGCCGTCTGTGGGTACGACTAGTTTTTCTACTCTTCCAATCCATGACAATCACTACCAGATCGATGAGTCAACAACCGGGAGACAACAACCCAGCTCATCGGGAGGAGGCTCTGCCTCCCCTCGCACCGTCTAAACCATCTACTACTACGACTCCCGCCAGGCAACAACAATAGCTCCTCCAAACCATGCAGTTGTTGGTGAACCAAAACAAG